CCATTCGGCAGTGAGTTGTGATGTTGTATGTCGGTGATGCATAGGTGAGATACACGTGTAACGTAAAATACCGCGCTTAAAAGAATAATAGGTTAGAACTGAAAAACACAATGTGATACGATATTTAATTTTCAGAATCGTACAAAGGGAGGCGATGAGTAGGCTGGAACAATCGTAGCTATCAATTTCATTGCTAATCGCTAGCTGAGCTTCTACTCAGTTGGAAGAAGCATTCTTTTGATAAAGTTTTATTTTCAAAAAATTTAAATTATTATTTATAATTGAGAATAAAAGACTAGGTGCAAATTGATTCTTATGGGGAGTCCTGAAAAAAAAATAATATATATATATATATATTTAAAGAAGTTACGATAATTGGGAAAGACGTGACATAAAATCATCCACAGATGCTACTTGCACATGCGACAGAACCGTTCGAAGCTATTCTAAAATGTCGCTTATATATACGTGCCATTTTGTAGCACGACAGGTGTAATAATGATTGAGACAGAAGTAGCTTTGAAACGAACGCGACTTTTACGGCAGAGAACTGTTAGAAGCTTGTCGCGGAGCGATGTTGCGCGACCCGCGATGACTTAACGTCGTTGAGAATAACTAAAAAAAAAAAAAAACATTTTATGTACCATAAATACTGATATCATGATACTACCGACAGATGACTTTTAGAGAATTTAAAGTTTCTCTTTCATTCGCAAATAATAGCGCAAAAGCGTCGTGACAGTTTATTTATGCATGATTCATGTAATGTATACTGCGCTAATACTGACTTATGCTAGTCTAATCAACAAAATTGACAACTATGGATATGAGCTTAATAGAATACATATCAAAAGCTAATATCTAGTATTCTTCAGTTATTATAATTTCATTACTCGCTTTCAAATTATAAATGATTTTTCTTTGACCAGTTGATTGAAAAACAACCAAGATTAAAATTTTTAATTACTATAATCGTATAATAAATTAGTATAATACATATAACTCGCTATAATTATTTAAAATTAGGTTTAATTGAGAAGGTCTGATATCTCAGTGCACTAGTAATTTTTGCATTGCCTTCCGCACCTGCGCCTCAGGTGCAAAAAGCCCGTCGACCGATCGGCTGAGCGATCAAGAACGAATTCTTCGGGCTCATTGCGTGTAGTTTAACGTGACGTGGTTCCGATCAAATGATCTTCTGTAAGATTGTAACCGCGAGATTCCTCGGGTCGAAGATTCGAGCTTGGCAAGAAAGGAGCCGTTATTTTTCGAGGATTCTTCATCTTTTCCCAGGTCACGGTCGAATGCAACCTCGCGGATATTCTCGGCGAGTTTCTTTACCTCCAGATGAACTGGCATTGTTCATGACGAATTTATGTCATTTACCGCCGACGGCATGTCTTACGAGGCTTCCTGCTGCGTGGCGGCATTTAAATTAATACGTAAAGTTAAAGACCGAAGTAATTAAGAAAGTAAATCGCTGTATGTTCGTAGAATACTAAACAACATTGCAATTTCCAGTGCGGTGTATCTACGTAAATGAAATTTTATTTTATTTTGTATTATGGATATCGTAGACTCATAAACCGCGGATTTCAACGGAGGGGGCGCGAGTCGCACAATAAATATCGCAAATCGCAACGCGCATTTAATCGTTGTACGCGAGCGTTTCTA